TATCTATCTATCTATCTATCTATCTATCTATCTATCTATCTATCTATTTCTATCTACTATCTACCTCTACCTACCTATCTGTCTATGGTATCGTCTACCTAAATAGCAGCACAACCACATGCTATACATCTCAGTCCTGAGCTATGAATGATCTCTGTTCTGACAAAGAGCACTTCATATTTCTATCCCAAAAGTCACTCGTTTAAATAGAAGTGATTTATTAAAGATTCATTTTTTTCTTATACATCCTTTGTATAGTAAAACCTATTGCAACCTTGGAAGTACCGCATTTTATTTAACATAAGCCAGATCTTAAACAGCTAGCTGTTTCCTGGCGTCTCTGCTACGCTTCATTTTTGGAAAAAAAAAAAAGGTTAAGACTGACCTTTCAAAGCAGCGCAGTGTTTCTTGATGGCAACTGGGGTCAGATGCAAGAAATTGGGGATCTGAAACAAGTATGTCTCATTAAAATCAGCCAATGAGCTTGCTTGCCCTCAGAGGTGTACAAAGGGAGTGGGGCTGATTCCGTGCCTCCTTCAGGATGCAAGCACAACCCCTGCAGCCGTCCAGGAGACTCTGGCTGCTCCGTTAACTTCTTCCCTCCCACCTCTTAATCTGTTTATAATTACTGAATGGCTCAAGTGGACGCCTCTTTGCACACTCTGGTTTCAGCTAGATTAGAGCAATTGTTCTCAACTTTACCCAATTTCATGTGTGTGGACTTTGTAGCACAGAACTTTTGTAGCACAGAACTTCTGTAACACAGAACAGTATTTTCCATCCCATAGTTGGGTAGACCAGGTTGCCCTGATAGACTGGTCTCACTGGGAAAAAAAAAACACTTAACCTCTCTCCAGCATAGCCGACAAAGTGAGGAGAACCCATGGCTTAGAGGTTAATACTTCTACCTAATATGCACATAGCCTGGGTTTGAATCCCAGAAAGGATTTTAGCTAGCTGACGAGAGCTAAACAGCTTGAAATAGATCTATATTGGTCTCCCTTTATTTCTGTCAGTAAAATACATATTCAACACAAAACTTCAGGTTTTGCTTCTTAGGGGCTCAGACTTGAAAGACTGCAGCAGGATCCCTTTGGATTCCCCTAACATCCTGAGGAACCACCTTACAGAATCAAATCTCCAGGTTCCCTCTTGATCTGAGGAAAACTCCCTCTGCTCAGGGTGCAAATCTAACCTCTGGCTGTCAATTAATGATTCAATGTCATGCCTGTAATTCACAGACATGTCTTCAGCCTGTCATGTCCTCAATGGAAGTTTTTAAAGATTATTATGTTTAGATTCTATTTCTCCTACAAAGACTCTAGCTGGCTGTCTCTCTGATCATAAGGAACAGGAAGGAAGTTGATTTGAGTGCAGCTGGTTCAAAGTAACTAAGTTTTAAAGCTGGGTCTTCAGATTAAATTCATGTGGTATTAAGTTTTTTTTTCCAATGGCAATTCAAGTAGAACCAACTCCTGTCACAAACCCTCCAAACAATTTAAAGGGACAAGCCTCCAGCTTTTCTCACCCAAGCAGAACTACTCAGTTAATACAGATTACAGCCCAGAATGGTTAAGTCCTAAATCAGTGTTAATACTTGCAATAAATTTACAGTTATCTTAAAGAATCTTAAGATAAAGGTATTTCAAATATCATTGCAATAGTTGTGTTCTAAGGATTTGCTCTGCCAGTATGCTTACTAAAAGACCCAGGATATGGATGTTGATGTAGTCAGCCCTGAATCTCACCTTCAAAAGTTCTAAGTTGCCTTCTTTTTCAAGAGGTGCACCTCCTTTGACTGGGTAGCCCATCCTAATGGGAAGTGGCACGGCAGAAGGTTTAAAAGAAGCTGCAGTTGGATAGACACTTGTCCAATCCTGATCTGGTTCCATCTTCTCCGATCTTGGCGTAGTGCCCTAACGGACATTGCAGAACAAAAATCTCAGTAAGACACAGGTTCAAATATCTGCCTCACTTACTTACATAGACATTAATCATGATTTTTAGTTGAAATTATTTTCTCTTTTCCTGAGGATTTTTTTCGAACTACACAAAAATTCAATTTTGGGGTTATTAATCAGTGCATAAAGGACTCACATCATTTTCCCAGCAGGAAAAGCATCCTGTTTGGATTATCTGGCTGCAGCACAAGCATTTTGTGGCTAGAATATTAGCATTGTGCCCACTCCAATTGGGCTCTTGTGTCTGATTGTGATAAAGTTACACAGGCCACTTTTTCTTTTTGGTAATCAACAATAACTTCTGCCTAAGAGGCAAAGTACCTAGAAAGGGCAACCCAGGGACTTATAATCGCTATGTGCTTAGAGTTCAAAGCATTGTTAGAGACCCCACACCCACTTTACAGTATGTTTCTGTTACTTCCCTTTGGGAGGAGGTTTCAAAGTATTTCTTGCAGGACTTTTAGATTCTGTAACAGCTTTATTCCCTACACCATCCATCTGGTAAACTTGCAAGATTCATTTAGCTCTCCATGTAGATGTATACATCAGAACTAGACGGTGTTGTTTCTCTGTATCATATATGTGGGTATATGCATGATTTTGTATTTATTATTTTTGTCATGTTTATGCAGTATAAATTGAAGGTGGTAACCCTTTAAGAGCTGTATGCAACACAATTTCATTTTAATGTATGCCGATTAGTGTACATTCAAAGTGACAATAAACTTATTCTAAGTCTAAAACTTGGCTTGGCTAACAAAGACTGCAAAAACTTGTAACTGATTTTGTCAAGTGCAGTATAAGCACTCACCAGGGAGTGGGGAAAAAACCCTCTGATGATATTGTTTAAAACTTCAAAACATAAGAAAGGCTCTTAAGCAGAGGTCTTCAAACTTGACAGCTTTAGGGCCTGTGGACTTCAACTCCCAGAATTCCTCCTCCAGTCAGGTTAGCTCAGAAATTCTGGGAATTGAAATCCACAAGTCTTTTTATCACAGGGATGCTGCAACAGTCATGTGAAAAAATGGTTATAGGTCTTTTTTTTTTCCATGCTGTAACTTTGAATGGTCACTAAATGAACTGTTGTAAGTTGAGGACTACCTGGAATTTGGCCAGTTGTTTCAGGCCCTGCTTATCTTTAAGCTGAGCCAGTCTTGTCAGAAAGAAGGCCTGCTGTTCTTTTTGCCTTTTATTCTTCTCCCATCACCATTCCCTATTTGAATATGTTTTTAAAAGCTCCACCGACTTTATAGGAAAATGGCAGCTCTGGGGGTGGGAGGGGGGAGGGGGAGAGCCAAACCCAGTTCCCGAATGAACCCAACATTTTAGAAAGACTCCAAAGCTCAGGTTTGAAAGAGGGATCAAATAAGCCATCTATATCAAAAGCGAACAGCCCTCTCTCAACAGAAGGGGAGGGATATGATATCATCTATCTCCAATCTACAACACAGTCCTTTCATCAGTTCCAAGAAGGCTCTCTACACCCATTTGAACTACTCAGGTGACCCTGAAGACACAGATAAACCTCCAAGTGGCCTCAAGGACTCTCCAAAGAGAATGCAAATGACCAGCTGTTTGCAAGGAGTATAAATCCATTCCCCACCATCCAGTCAGAGTTGAAAAAGTTTCTTGGATGATGTAGAAAGTTAGCACCCACCCCTCCTAGAAGAATGAAGTATTTTAAGAAATATCAAAAAGGCAGAATATTATATTTCCATGGATGAGAAAAGGAGAAACGTGTTTCTAAAGACAGAAATGAGCCACAATTCCCTGCCCCCAAGCTGAGGCCAGGTTTTAGAAATACAGATTTGGTAATCCATTCAAGACCGGATATTTTGAACAAAGGCAGAACGGTAGGATTAGCACTCACTCAAGGTCCAAACCAGGGCAAAGCCATTGAGACCCAATAGGAATTGTCCAAAGAACACAAGCCTCTTCAATACAGCATCACCCTCCAAGTTTCAACCAAACTTGACTTCAAGACAAATATGACCCTTGCATAGCCCCATGGCAATCTGACAGCAACCAATAGGATATATGCCCTTGCCCCAGGAACAGGAAGCTCAAGGGCAAGGCCCAAGAGAGGGTATAAATACCACTCTCTCTCCACTCCAGGGATCCCACATGGTCCTGTCCATCAATAAAACATCTTTCCAATCAGCTTCTATGTCTTTTTCCCTGCTTGGAACTGAACCCAGATAGATATTTCTTCCAAGAATTCCTTCAATTCTGTTATTGATTCTTGCTTTTGAATGTGCCTCGGTGTTGATTTTAATTCTAAGAGATTTGTTTCTTTTAGCTGTTAATTCTTGGGGGGCACAAACTGTTAGTATTTTAATTTTTCAAACAAGAAAACAAACAAACCTTAAAGTGCTCTTAAAACTATCAGTCAAGGACAGGGTGCAAAAAAACAAAAAACACCCCAATTACCTCTACATATTTGACCAATTACAACAAGCTACATATAACTAATAGTTATCATTTTCATTGTCATTGTTATGACTATTACTGTTATCATTATAATTATCATTGTTAGCAATGTTATTACTTTTACTACCATTATTACTGTCATTGTCATTATTATTGCTGTTATTACTATTGTTATTGCCACTATTATTGTTGTTGTTCTTGTTATCTTTAATACTTTTGGCGTGTGACCATAATAAACGTTGAATTAAATTGAAAAATAAAAAAGTTGCCTCTTGAAAAAAGCACCTTGGGGACAACCATATCCTGGATGACTGAGAATCTCCACAGACACTGCAAAACTTAATTCAGGTCCATTTTTTTTTTTTTGCATTTAACGGTTTTTTTAAAAACCGTTTTAAAGCCAGCGGGGGGGGGGGGGGGGGTGAGGAGAACAGCCAGCCCCGCCCCTTGGCGACGGGAGTATGAGCCACGGGAGGACACCCCTCCCTCCCCTCCGATAGGGCGCAAGGGACTTACGTAGATCAACTCCTTCTGGGCTCGACGTTCAGCCAGGGTCTCTTTCAGGGTGCCTCTCCTCTGCGGCTGCGCCGCGCCTGAAAGACAAACGGACGATATGGGACGACTGGGCTTCCTTCCTTCCTCGCCATGCCGAGAGGGAAGGAGGGAAACCGGCCCTTGACTTTCGGCCTACCTCCCAAGCTGGCGTATCCGGCCGAGCTCGGCCACCGCCAGTGCACCAAGCATCTCCGCCAGGCCAGCGCCATCTTTCCGCACCCCCGGCGCAGCGGATGATGACGTAACCGCAGCGGCCGCGCAGAGAGATGACCTCAACTTGCGGCCAATGGCGCTCAGGGTGGCCCGTAGCGTTACTTGATATGCCTGCGACGGGAGTGTGGGTGGGTTTCCTCTAATGACGTCGTACAGGAATTCTGGGAGTTGAAGTCCGCGCGTATCATGAAAGCCGCCTGAGGTTGACGGGCGCTGCTCCGAGGATGCGCCCGTTCTTACGGCAAGTCCAGTGGGCGCTGTGGGCATTGCACCCGAAGGAGAGCGAGGGGGTTGGCGAGCAGGCAGAAGCCCACAAGGGCAGCCGAGATTTCCTGCCTGGAAATCAATCAAACAGCATACAGCTGGAAGGGACCTTGGAGGTCTTCTAGTCCAACCCCCTGGTCAAGCAAGAGATCCTATATACCGGGGGTCCCCAAACTTGCCAAGTCTAGGACTTGTGGACTTCAACTCCCAGAATTCCTCAGCCAGCCATGCTGTCTGGGGAATTCTAGAAGTTGAAGTCCACAGGTCTTAAAGTTGCCAAGTTTGAAGACCCATTTCAGACAAGTGGCTGTCTATTCATAAAATATTCGTAAATAAATCACTTTTTAATGAATGTGACTAAATGAATCCAATCGAATTTATAAATGATTTATAAAATATTTCTTTTTATTCATTTTATGAATATTTTCATATTTTTATGAATTCATAATCATAAAAGAGTGATTTCAAAGAAGGATTACAGTCAGAAGAAAACTAAAGAGCAGAATGTGTGGAATTGCCAGGTCATTATTTAAGGGAGCAGAATGTATGTGGATGGTCAAATATGACTAATCCATGGGTGTGTGTATTTTGAACATGGATGATCTTATAGTACAAGGGCCTTCAAACTTGGCAAGTTTAAGATTTGTGGACTTCAACTCCCAGAATTCCTGAGCTAACATGACTGGAGGAGGAATTCTGGGAGTTGAAGTCCACAAATCTTAAAGCTGTCAAGTTTGAAGACCCCTTGGATTACCTTGGAAAGTAATGCTTTTACAGCGTAGCCAACCTCAGTGAATATTTTGTACGCACAATTCAAGCCCTGAATTCAAGGTCAATTGGCTGAATTCCCCTTTTTCATTTTGAAATTCTATTTAGGTTTGTGAAAGGGAAGAGGCCAACCATTTTTCCTAGCTTCAAGTATAGCTGAGACAGTGGTGGGATTCAAAAATTTTACTACCGGTTCTGTGGGCGTGGCTTGGTGAGTGTGGCGTGGCTTGGCGGGCAGGGGAAGGATACTGTAAAATCTCAATTTCCACCCCACCCCAGGGGAAGGATACTGTAAAATCGCCATTCTCTCCCCACCCCACTAACCTGCTTTCCAGTTCCCTTCTCCTCTGCAGGGCAACAAAAGAAGATCCAGCTGGGACTCAATGGGAGGCAGAGAATAGATGGTGGCGGGGCCAGGCAAAGGTGGAATCTGCCGCTTCTCCAAACTACTCAAAATTTCTGCTACCGGTTCTCCAGAACTAGTCTGAACCTGCTGAAGACCACCTCTGAGCTGAAAATGTCCCCTTCTACCACTTGTACCATGCTCAGCAGCTGCTGCTGCAGCCAGCATGGTGGAGATTGGAGGCAGCCTGCAGGCATTCATGCAAACCTCTGCAAATCCTTTCCAGCCACCCAATCCTGTGAAGATGCCCTGCAACTCCGCTGTGCAGAAGTAGCATGCAGGCTCAGCTGTTGCCTGCACTGAATGCAGCGTGGTTGAGTCCAGCAGACGATCTGGGATGATCTTGGAAAAAGACAGGGGGATCTTTGGATGGGTGCCCTGCAAGCCGGAGGAAAGTTGGGGGAAAAAAGTGTTTCCATTTTCTCTCCTGAAAACGGCAGGGATGCCTGTTCCGTTCCAAAAAAGATGTTCCGTTTTCAAATATGTACGAAGAAAAATGGTACATTGTGTGTTTGTGGAACTAAGGTACAAATATGTGCATTCATGCATGCGCACACATCACACTATCCCATTTGTGGTTTAGCAAGGGTGCAGAGGGTTGAAGAGAAGCCAGAATAAGCCCTACCTTGCTCTTTCCTACCAATTTTGCATCTTAATTTCAGCACTGATAGAATAGAATGGAATAGAATAGAATAGAATAGAATAGAATAGAATAGAATAGAATAGAATAGAATAGAATAGAATAGAAT